TGTTGCCATGTCCGGCCATGCTGATAATGAACTAAACCTCTGTACTGTAAGCTGAACCCAATTAAATGCTTTCTTTCATAGGAATTGTCGTGATCATAGTATCTCTTCACAACAATAGAACACTAAGAAAATGGGCAGCGATGGAAGGAGGAAGGAAAGGAAGAAAGCCAGATGAGTGTCAACATTATAATTTCCTGCCATTATGAGAACAACCTGTCCTGGAGCACACATTTCTGCTGCCACCATGTTCTTGTAAGAAAACCATCAAGGTAGGTAAGACCCAACTTCTGAAGTTGTCCTCTGACTTCCACATATGCACCATAGCATGTGCACATGCTTACAAGAGCACACAGACACAGTCACACAGGAACACACACACACATACACACACACACACACACACACACACAGACACACACACAGTCACACACACAGACACACACGGTCACACACACACACAGTCACACAGGCACACAGACACACACACAGTCACACACACAGACACACACGGTCACACACACACACAGTCACACAGGCACACAGACACACACACAGTCACACACACAGACACACACGGTCACACACACACACAGTCACACAGGCACACAGACACACACACAGTCACACACACAGACACACACGGTCACACACACACACAGTCACACAGGCACACAGACACACACACAGTCACACACACAGACACACACGGTCACACACACACACAGTCACACAGGCACACAGACACACACACAGTCACACACACAGACACACACGGTCACACACACACACAGTCACACAGGCACACAGACACACACACAGTCACACACACAGACACACACGGTCACACACACACACAGTCACACAGGCACACAGACACACACACAGTCACACACACAGACACACACGGTCACACACACACACAGTCACACAGGCACACAGACACACACACAGTCACACACACAGACACACACGGTCACACACACACACAGTCACACAGGCACACAGACACACACACAGTCACACACACAGACACACACGGTCACACACACACACAGTCACACAGGCACACAGACACACACACAGTCACACACACAGACACACACGGTCACACACACACACAGTCACACAGGCACACAGACACACACACAGTCACACACACAGACACACACGGTCACACACACACACAGTCACACAGGCACACAGACACACACACAGTCACACACACAGACACACACGGTCACACACACACACAGTCACACAGGCACACAGACACACACACAGTCACACACACAGACACACACGGTCACACACACACACAGTCACACAGGCACACAGACACACACACAGTCACACACACAGACACACACGGTCACACACACACACAGTCACACAGGCACACAGACACACACACAGTCACACACACAGACACACACGGTCACACACACACACAGTCACACAGGCACACAGACACACACACAGTCACACACACAGACACACACGGTCACACACACACACAGTCACACAGGCACACAGACACACACACAGTCACACACACAGACACACACGGTCACACACACACACAGTCACACAGGCACACAGACACACACACAGTCACACACACAGACACACACGGTCACACACACACACAGTCACACAGGCACACAGACACACACACAGTCACACACACAGACACACACGGTCACACACACACACAGTCACACAGGCACACAGACACACACACAGTCACACACACAGACACACACGGTCACACACACACACAGTCACACAGGCACACAGACACACACACAGTCACACACACAGACACACACGGTCACACACACACACAGTCACACAGGCACACAGACACACACACAGTCACACACACAGACACACACGGTCACACACACACACAGTCACACAGGCACACAGACACACACACAGTCACACACACAGACACACACGGTCACACACACACACAGTCACACAGGCACACAGACACACACACAGTCACACACACAGACACACACGGTCACACACACACACAGTCACACAGGCACACAGACACACACACAGTCACACACACAGACACACACGGTCACACACACACACAGTCACACAGGCACACAGACACACACACAGTCACACACACAGACACACACGGTCACACACACACACAGTCACACAGGCACACAGACACACACACAGTCACACACACAGACACACACGGTCACACACACACACAGTCACACAGAAACACACACAGTCACACACACACAGTCACACACACACACACACACACGCGCGCGCGCGCGCGCACAAGATGCATTTAGTGTGTGCACATGTGTATGTGGGTGCCAGAAGTCAATGTCTGTTCTCTGTTATTTCCTGAGGTAAAATCTCTTGCTGGGTCCTGAGGTTCACCAATTAGTTTAGGCTGACTGACTAGCAAGTTCCAGAGATCCATCTGTCTTTATACCCCATCAACAATGGATTAACTTTTATATAGGTACTGGGGACCAATTTCAGGTCCTCATACTTGAGTGGCAGACACTTTGCCAACTGAACCATTCTCCCAGTCCCTTCAATGAAGATTTTTGGGGTTTTTATTTTTTTTAATTTCAAAGACTATAATAGTTCTTCATCTGAAAAAATATGGCCTTGACTCTACTTAACTAGTGAGACTATTGGCAGGGCTGAGCAAAGTATGTCTCTAAAATAGTTGAAAACTTCTGTGATCTGTGACATGTAAATACACAGATTTTAAAATACCAGTCACGAGGGGCTGGAGAGATGGCTCAGAGGTTAAGAGCACTGGCTGCTTTTCCAGAGGTCCTGTGCAGGCATACGTACATGCAGAATGCCATATAAAAAAAAAAAAAAATTTAAAAAAAAAAAAAAAAAAAAAAAAACAGTCACAAGCCGGGCATTGGTGGCAGAGGGAGGCAGAGGCTGGCCTGGTCTCCAGAGAACTGCCAGGATAGGCTTTAAAGCTACACAGAAAAACCCTGTCTCAAAAAAACAAAAAAACAAAAACAAAAAAACAGTCACGAGTCACAGGCTGTGTATCCCATATCTAGTCTGAACTAGTTGGGAATGTTTAAGACTTGAGATATCTGCTGGGCAGTGGTGGTGCACGCCTTTAATCCCAGCATTTGGGAGACAGAGGGAGGCCGATCTCTGTGAAAAAAACAAAAGATTTGGCATATTTTAAGATTGGGAATATGCATATATATGCACACACATGTACATTTGTGCTTATATATTCACACAAACAGATACATATGGCTGTGCACACACAAATACACACACACACACACACACACACACACACACACACACACACACGATATGTTGGAGATCCTCCAAGTCTAAACAAGATGTTTACTTATATTGCATATATGAAATATTAGAAATACTTTGCAAGGGTAATTAAAAAAAACTGTGGCTATCTGCATTTTGACTATGACCTGCCACAAGAGGTCCACTGTACATTTTCTTACAAAATTTCATATTCTTGATAATATCCCTTTCTGATTATATCATCTTAACTTGTGTTACTTTCCTAGTAAAAGAGAAGACATTTCCCCTTAAGTAACAGATTCCAAGCAGTGTCCATCTTAATCTCCTTTTTTTTCACACTGCAACTCTTAGAGATTCAGAAGCAGCAGCCCATATCGATAGTGTTGTACAACTTAACTTGTGATAAACTTCATGGAAGGCATGATGTGAGCCTACACCATCACCAGTGGTATCTTTAAAACCGAATGTTTATTATAGCCACACAGCACAAAACTATGTAGTCATTTCAAAAGTTATAAAAATATTTGAGTATATAGAAATATGGTTAAAATAGGACTAAAAATGATCACAAAACATTAATCTACTATTTTTTACATTTTAAAAATATCCTCAGAAAAAATTTGAAAGATTTGTATTATACACATTTATATGACTATGTGTATGACATTTTTGTTTTATATCTTCCTGAATTTTCAAAAATTCTATTAGCAGTAATGTTTTGTTTTGGGTTTTTTGGACTTATTTTTTAAGACAGGGTTTTTCTGTGTAGTCCAGATGGGTCTAAAACTCTAGATCCTCTTTTGTCCATCTCCTAAGTTGGATGACTATGGTGATATTTTGTTTGTACTCTACAAATAAAGCTTGCCTGAAGATCAGAGGAATGGGCTAGCCATTAGTTAACTATAGAGGTCTGTAGTTCTGTACAGACAGGAAGTGATAAAGCATGGTGGAGTGAGGAACTCAGTCTCTTTTGGGGCTGAGAGTCACAGAGGTAAGAGCTCTAGTGGACCTGGCTGCTCTACTCTGATCTTTCAGCTTTCACCCCCCTAATATCTGACTCCAGGTTTTTAAAAATAATTTATGTTTTTATTTTATTTGCATTGGTGTTTTGCTTGCATGTTTGACTGTGTGGGAGTGTCAGATCTTGGAGTTACAGACAGTTGTTAGCTGCCATGTGTGTGTTAGGAATTGAGTACTCTAGAAGAGCAACCAGTGCCCTTAACCTCTGAGCCATCTCTCCACTCCCTGGGTTGTTATTATTAATATTGAAGACAGGTCATCAGACTTAGTGACAGGTGCCTTTCCCACTGAGCCATCTTACAGGCCTGGCAGTGGCTTTCCTCTTCTCTTTTTCTTCTCTCCTCTCTCTCCTCTCCTCTCTCATCTCCCCACCCCCTCATTTTATTTTTGAAACAAGGTCTTTCTATGCAGTCCTGGCTGTCCTGGAACTCACTCTGTAGACCAGGCTGGCATCTAACTCACCTGTCTCTGCCTCCCAAGTGCTGGGATTAAAGGTGTGCGCCACCACCCCCCAGCCTCAGTAGCTACTTTTAAGATAAAAAGTGATAAAACTATTATATCAAAGTATAACAATGGACAATGGGTCTGTATTTCCACAATGGATCATCTTTGATCTGAATTGTACTTATATCTGAATGTACCTTACTTGCACAGTGTTGGCGGAGTCTAGGAATGCTCACCTCCCCGACTGTCTGTAGGTTATAGCATATGCTGTCCTTGTGGGCTGCTGAAGTTCCATAGAGAAGTCCCTGTATGAGCCAGCAAATTCCCAGGAGCAGGTCAGAAAAGCTCAGATAAAAGAGTGATTTTGTCTGTCAAAAGCCACAAAATCTTAATTCAGTAAGTGATATAGCTAGGAGAAAGAACATACAAATTATCTTTACATTTTATGCTTTGAGTAGAAAAAATTGCTGTCAGTCTGCCAGGGCTTCTGCCATTGTTTGACTATTGATAATGTAAAGGAAGATTTCTGATAGGAAGGTATCTGTGACCACAGCTACTTCAAAGTCCTGGAGTAAGAGGGCTTGTGAACAGCTCAGCACTCTCACCCACAGGGACACTCCTTCCTCAGCTATAGGGTCACAGATAGAATGGACAGGTAAAAGGTTTACAGTGGAGCTATAACATAAATGCTAGGCGTGTTCAGTCACCATATTCTAGAATTAGACAATGATGTCATGAGTCTCATGTTTACAGATATAGTTGAGGACTTAAAAAGTGAGAGAAATGCCAGTATGATATATATGCTACCTTTTGCCTTCTTACTACACTGATGAGGTCTTAATATTTTCTTGGTTTTTGTTTGTTTGTTTGTTTGTTTGGTTGGTTGGTTTTTTGAGACAGAGTTTCTCTGTGTAGCTTTGGGGCCTATCCTGGCAATCACTCTGGAGACCAGGCTGGCCTAGAACTCACAGAGATCCGCCTGCCTCTGCCTCCCGAGTGCTGGGATTAAAGGCGTGTGCCACCAACGCCAGGCTTTTCTTGGTTTTTATGTATTTGTATGAGTATGGCATGTACATGAACTCATATTGGAGGAAGTATGCTCCTGTGCATGGACATGAGAGGGAAAAAGGGCTCCTGCTCTACCAGTCTCCACCTTCTTCCTCTGAGCAGGGTCTTTCACTGAATCTGTGACAGACGAATGGCCAGCAGCTTATCTCCAGCTACACAGTACTGTGGCACAGGTGTGCATGGCCAAGCCCCACCTTTGACCTGAGTGCTAGAATTTGAACTCAGGGCTTCAGTCTTGCACAGCATGCACTCTTACTCGCTGAGCCACTCTCAGTCTGCTTGCTTACTTTTTATTATCTTTGTGCCTCCCTGTTCCCAATTAGTTTTTTACCACTTTATTTTATTATTAGTTAATTTTTGAGACAGGGTCTCACCATGTAAACCAGACTGGCTTCCACTAGCTTCTGTCTCCTGAGTGCAGGGATTAAAGGAGTGCACCACCACACCCAGCTCTTTTCTGATTATTCTACAGAAGAAATATGTTTATGGAGACACACCAAAGAAATTCTAAGAAATATGTAGTGCTCATGGATGTAAGATACTATAAAATGGTGGTTCTTTCTAAGTGGGTCTATAAATTAAATGTATCTTATTCTCTACAGATTTCCCTGTGGAATTTAACAAGCTAACTTGAAGTATGAAAAATGTACTAACCAGAAATGGCAGAACAGGCTGGTGATTGTTGTGCTCAGCAGACAGAGGCAGAGAATCAAGAATTTGAAGCTACCTGGACTATAGCAAAACTACTTGGGATTCATAACAAGACTGTGTCAAAGAAATATTTAGGGTTTAAAGCACCAAGAGAATATAGCTAGACTATAATAAATACTATATTTGTTTAATTCAGAGGGATTGGTCTTCTGAAAAGCTCTGCTACTTGGTGGATAACTTAATCTTGAATGTCTGTAGTTTCCTCAAGTGTGAAATGGGCCAAACTGCATTCTTCATGGTTTTTTAGACAGCAGCTCTCCAGCATACACATTAAACAGCACTGTGGCTAATTCTGAGCCATTCAGCCTAATTACAGCAATAATTGCTCCCTGTTCTTTAAGGTATGTATTGAACTGGCACGTAGACCACTCTTGCCAGCACTTCATGAGTGTGTGTGTGTGGGTTGAGCACACAAGTTGGCGTGTGTGTGTGTGTGTGTGTGTGTGTGTGTGTGTGTGTGTATGTATGTGTGTGTTTTATTTTGAGGTGGAATCTCAACCTGCCCAACAGTAAAGTTTTTAACTTGAACATTTCGGTGTGATTATTTTTATGAAGTATTTTTTTAATGAAACTGTAATTGCTAAGGAGGACAGGACAACAAACAAGTGTTTCAAGCAGACAAGTCAAGATCAGAAAGCTTACCTAAGCCAGTCATGGTGTCTCACATCTTTAATCCCAGCACTTGGGAGGTAGATGCAAGTACATCTCTTGAATTTGAGGCCAGCCTGTTTTACAGAGTAAGTTCCAGGACAGTCAGGGATACACAGAGAGACTCTAGAGAGAGAGAGAGAGAGAGAGAGAGAGAGAGAGAGGAAGAAAAGAAAGATAAAAAGAAAGAAAGCTGCTCACCCAGAGGGAAGGCCTTACCACACTTAACGTCAATACAAGCCTCAGACTTCAGACAGCAGCTTCCCTAACCTTAACAACTCACAGTACAAAGAGAGCCATACTTAATAGCTAACCTCTAAAAACCAAAGGTTACAGCTGCAGTCCTGCCCAGAAGAAAAAGGAGTTCTGTGATAGAGGGAAACATTCCCATCTATTATAATGAGGAACTTATTGGTAATCATAGAATTATCCCACTGTGCATAGGTTGGTGCTTTCCTGGCACTTATGTCAAAGGCTAAATCACCAGCAGTTCAAACTCAATGGAAAGAGACTCTTACCTCTGCAGATGTCTGTGGGTTCTGGAACACAGTATAAGTAATAAGTGAACTTGAACCTATAACACTGAGAGACAAAGATCATTGGCCATTACAATACAGTGGTAAGACTCTCATTTTTATAATTCATTGGCATAACTGATATAAAATATACCACACATTTTAAAATTTAGAGTGCTTTGTGAATATTCATGCCACCCTTGTCTAGTATCATTCCAATTTCTCTTACTTTGTAGCCTCTGATTGCCTAGAACTCACTGTGTAGACCAGGCTGGCCTCAGTCCCCCCAAGTGCTGGGATTAGATGTGAACAACCATGTTCACCTTCCTCCCAGAGTTTAAAACGTGCAGTGCTGAGGTGAGTGCCTGATGCTGGTCTGCGCCAGTCCTGCTCGCAGGCTGTCCACTTATTTCAAATGAGTGCCCTACCTCTGTTTCTTATGGCTCGAATTCTTGCTTCCACTGGGTGTAGATGTGGTGACCCATCAGTAACCTCTGGAAGGCCAGAGGTCAATGTCAGTGTCTTCCTCTATCACTTCCCACCTTAATTTTTAGACAGCCTCTCTTGCTGAACCTGGAGCCGCCCCCAAGATCCTCAGTCTCTGTCTCCCAAGACTGAGACAACAGGCAGGTAACAACATGGCAGACTTTTCATATGAATGCCTGGAATCCCAACTCAGCTTCTCATGCTTAGGAAGCAAGTGCTTTATTCACTAAGCCGTCTTCCCAGTGAAAAAATACCAACATAAGAAAGAATTTCTAACTAAAAGTAACATGCAACTCTTGGGAGCAAGGTGTGGGAAGCTACACAGCTCTCCAGTCTGCTCATGCGATTTCAACAGTCATGTGACATGAGACTGAAAAAAAAAACATACCTCAGAGTAGCCGTGGCAAATTGTATCCACTGTATTGCAGGAAAAAACTAAAGAAAAGAGAAAAGTCAATCTTTTACATTTAGTGTTCAAGCTGACTTCCGTTTCAATGTTTATTAACCATCTTTTCAACACAGACCTTCAAATCCACTCCAGGTCTGGGAAGGAGTGAAATCTAAACAGACCTGTGGGAAGGCAGGACCTGGCTGCCCTCAACCCAACTCCTTATAAAACAGTCAAATTTTAGAAGAAACAGCAATGTGCGGGGAGTGAATGAAGGAGAAAGAGAAGGTGAGAAAGCTACAAAAACAAAATAACAGAGAGAGGAAAGGCTGATGTTTAAGGGAGAACAGATGACAGAAAGAAGCCTTAACATGGAAGAGAATGCTAAGTGAAGCTGACTGACAGAAAGCTAAAAAGACGGAAAAAGGGGAAATAATGAAGAGGGGGAAAGTTATTAGTATGGAGAGAGCCACTGTGAGTAACACCCAGAACAGAGAGTACAAAGAAAGGAGGGAAAGGGGGAAGGACAGCCAGCTTTTGACCTTACAGAGTCCCATCTGCCTTCCAGAGGGCTCGTCTCCAGTGGGAGGGCCATAAGGACTTCAGTCCCAGCGACCCTCCAGCCCAGGCCCTTCTCCGGCAGGTTCCAAACAGGTAGCTCCACCCCTGCCTCAGCTGGGCTCCACCCCATCTAATCCTGCCCCTACTACCTTAGGGCAGGAGGTAGAAGGGCCAAGAAGAACAAAAATAGAAACAGCAGGTGACAGGAGAAACCAAGTTGTAAGAAACATTAGAGAAAAAAAAAGAAAAAGCAACATTAGAAATTTTAAGAAGGAGCAAGAGGAGGGAGTAATAAAAAAGCAGATAAAGTTGCAAAAGAGAGTACAACAGGAAAATAAGGAAGAGAAGGAAATGGGGTAAACAGAGGCCTGTTAAAACTTATCCTTTTTTGGGGATAAAATGAAGAGAAAGACGATGGCACATTCAATCAACAAACTTTTAGTAATAGTGAAAATCAAGAATAGGTTTTAGGGGTTTGTTTTGTTTTGCTTTTTGAGGAAGGGTTTCTCTTCACAGAACTGGCTGTCCTGGAACTCACTATGCTGACCAGGCTGGCCTCCAACTCACAGAGATT